AGCTGCATCCAATTTTACAGCAGATCTAAATGTCCGTCAATGGTCTGTTTTCAATAAGAACAGTCTGGGTACTCAGAGCCCATCTTTAGGTTTTAGAGAACAAGACTGAGAGACTCTCTGAGTGTTAAAGTTAGACAAAACTAGACAAGGACATAAGAAGCACAGCAGGAAAGATAAGATGAGGGAGAGGGAGAGAGATGCGACCGCCTCCGTTAGAGCCAAAGAGAAGAAGTCAGTGAATGTGTGAGTTCTGGGTGGTTATAGCTTTTTGGGAAGAAACTATTTTTGAGTCTGTCAGTCTTTGTGCTGATGCACCTGTAGCACTTTCTTGAGGGAAGCAGGTTGAACAGGTCAAAACCAGGGTGGGAGCTGTCCTTGATGATGTTTGTTGCTCTGTTGAGGCAGCAGAAGGAATAGATGTCCATCAGGGAGGGGAAAGGGCCACAGGTCATCATATGTGTTGCCTTGACTACTCCTCTATCCGCCTTAGTGCAACTGTCATAACATGCTGTGATGCAGTATGTCAGCTGGCTCTCAATGGACGAGCAGTAGAAGGTCAGCAGCAGGTTGGAGTCCAGTTTGTACTTCCTGAGGACCCCTACAATCAATTCTTTGGTCTTTGTCACATTGAGCTGCAAAGGATTCTGCTTGCACCATGAGACAAAGGACTTACTCACAGCCTCCCTCTCATCACCCATGTATCCAACCACCACAGAGTCATCAGAAAACTTCTGAAGATGGCAGGTCTCCGTGCAGTGGCTGAAGTCTGTGGTGTAGAGGGTAGAGAGCTGGTCCAGATGGGCGTAGACACGATTGAGCACATAGATGATGGTGTCCTCAGCTCCGAGGCGGGGCTGGTGGGGGAACTGAAGGGGATCCTGTTGTGGCATGACAATAGGCTGGAGCTGGTGATGGATGAATTTTTCCAGTGTCTTCATGACGTGTAAGTCACAGGCCTGTAATTCTGGGGGCCACTGGGACATGGCGTACCAGTTGGGGGACGAAGGAGGAACTGTATGCATCCTTAACATTAGCATACAGTAGGTCTACAATTCTCTCCCTGTGTGAAAGTTAGCAGTGTAGTCAAAGCTGACATGGTTGAAGTCACCCATACATAGCAATGAAGGCACTCGGGTGCTGAGTCTATAACCAGGCTATAGCAGAGTGGATAGAATAGAATAATCCTTTAATTGTCCCACAAGGGGAAATTTGGTGGATAATGTCACAAGCAGCCTCGCCTGTCTAAAGTGTTATGTCCCATGCAGTCCTTGCTATAACTTGTGTCCGTCGTTGGAGCTAACTCTGATAGCTTAGTCAGCTAGCTGCTAACTGGCTTTCTGGGCAGAGATACAATGGCTTGCCCGAGCTGCACTAACCCACCTCTCTTGGATGGACATGGGATGGGTCACAAGTGAGCCCTCAAATATATCTCTGGGTAACATTACTACATTTACTATAATAGCCACACAGGTTTACAGTTGGTTTTGAGCTCGGTCTGCTTTATTTTTTGATCACAGTATGTGAATTAATGGTTAGTGAGTAGGGTTGCCAACCGTCCCTTAAAATACGGAATCGTCCCGTATTTCGAAACAAAAGTACACGTCCCGTATTGAGCTAATAAGGGACGCACTTTGTCCCGTAATACAGTGAGAATCAAAAGTAGTCTATAAATGTTTAATGGAATTAACGCTTTGTTTGAAAACATAATTCCCAGCCCCTCTCCTGCTTTGTGACCAATGAGCTGACAGCACACTTATGACAATTCGAGTATGACAATTCAGATTACCGCTCATCTCATTGGTCGAGGAAAGGTCGCTTGCGGAGAAAATACCGGAAGACAACAGATGACCACAACAAGAAGCATGGCCAACAGGGAAACAAACGCCGACACTGCGGTGCAAGTCTCGGACGACAGTACACCTAAAGCTGGGCAGACACTGTGCGATTTTTTCAGTCGCGTTATTCAGCTCCTGCTCAAACTGCACGATTGACTCCAGGGTTAGAAGTTGGTAGGTCACGATGCAGGTCTCACACTATACCGCCCGATGCTCTGATGCGACCTGAGATGCTCACACTGTGCGTCCATAAAATTAAGGTTATAACAGAAAATCTGTCGCTCGCTCTCTCTTGTCTTCACTCACACAGACACACCACCACCATCAACTTTGCTAAATCTGCTAATGAAAAACATTGATCAGGCAGCTGTGATTGAGCAGCAATGTAAATCCAACTATTTTCACGGTTGTTGTGGTCGTGATAATTTTGTGATGCCACATGGAAAAGGCTCGGATGAGCTTTCCAAAGTTCTACAAGTTGTGCCTCCGTCGCTTGTGTCCAGATCACACGCTGCACAGCCGTGCTGCTCCGTCTTTTTCACCGACGTTTACGTGTTTGCGCGTGAGCAGTGTGAGCGGCTGTGGTGACACCCTCACGAGCGATTGATGATCGGGAGCTGGTCGTGAGGTGTTAATCACTTCTCGTTACCCCACGTATACTACACGACGCACGATGAAGGCCAAAATCGGTCCGATCACTCAAAAATCGGCTCAAAATGGGCCTAAAACCGCACAGTGTGAGCCCAGCGTTAGAGCAGCAATGTTTGTTCCCCTCAGAGAAAGGGAAGAATGGGAAAAGGAAAACACCTGGCTGGAAAAAGTTAATATGGGCATGTGCAGTGAATATCAGCGCTATGTGCGCCTTTGATTCCGTAATATACTTTTTTTGTGTAATAAACAACTGCAAGGATAGATGATTACAACAAATAGATGACTAATACATAAAAGTAATACATAGATGAATAATGATGATGAGTTAAGATGCGTAATCATGGGAACAAGCGGGTTTACAAACAGGAGCAGCTGATTAGCATTAGAAAAGCTGAAATAATACCTCAACTGAAGCCAATTGTACTAAATGCACTAAATGTGCACTGTTACAAGAATGTTTTTCTTTCTATTATTTTCTATTATTTTAAGTTAAGCAGGACAGAGTTCTTTTAAAGAAAGATTTACTTATATTCTCAAAAGTTAAGCATGACAGGCTTCTGTTTAAGAAAGAGACCTGTTTTACTGTGTTAATGTTGTCATTTTGAGCTAAAAATAAATGGCTAAATGATCATTTGTTTCACATGTGTTCATATCACAAAGAATAGAATATGCATCTACTTAAATCAACTTCAAGTCAAATGGTTAAAAAAATAATTTCACACACAAAAAAAGAGCTAGAAAATTCACCACACTGGGAAGGGTGAAGACAACTGGGTTGCCCGGCCCTGGCCACGAGGTGTCCCTTATTTATTTTTCAGGGAGTTGGCAACCCTATTAGTGAGGAAGATATTTTTTAATGAGATATTTTTAAGAGTTTGCAGCTCTGTGTGCCACTCTCTCTCTCTGCTTATACAAGTGCATATATGAGCTCACCCAGCACCATCTTGCCTTCTCCCATCTGTATGCCAGTAATTATTCGAGTAGAATATTTATCTATATAATATTTATTTGATTACACTTTAAATCCAGGTCAGAGAGAGGGTATTGTTTTCTTTTACACATGCACATTTAATAAATTAAAGCGGTAGTATCTAAAACAAATCTTTATTACAAATCACTCCGGTTGATAAAAATGTGAATTCTGGCGCCTGGCAGTACCTTGAAGCAGCAGGTACGCCACCTGTTGGAACTGGGGTGAAGTGCACCAAAACTTCAGATTTTGTCACAGTCACATGACCTGTATGTTTTGAAAGCATTTGTTTTCTATAAGCTTCGGTCTCTACTGTAGGACATAAAGTTTCTGACTTGTGATTTCCAAAAGGCAGCTTGGATGTAATCCAATAATGAAAACAAGGCAGACATTAAACACTGAAGAAAGGAATTTATTGTACACAAAACTGTCAGTTTGAAAATAAAACATTTTCAGTTCACGTCCGAGTTATCTATTCCTGTCAATAAAACACATTAAACAGCTATAAAAAGAAAACTGTTGCTTTTCAAACTCCTTTTCTGACTAACTTTTACCCTGAGCACATCAGCAGAATTACCCACACTTTATAACAGCAAAACAATAACCGGATGAACTGAGCAAAAAAATCTTAATATGCAAACTGAAGGAAAAAAAAAAAACTAATATTGAAAAGCATTTAAATGTGGCTTAGAATATTCAGATAAAAAAACTGACCTTTCTATTTGGCTCTAACAGTGTGTGAGATCTAGCTTTGTTGATACTGACATGCCTGTAACAGTAACTAAACTACAAATCAATTGATAGATAACTTAGGGCTGCCATAAAGTGGACCTTACTTTCTCTCACTTCTGGACAATCCAGCGGGCTAAAATTTACAAAGTAAACATAAATTTGATGAGACTTGAAAATATGAATTGTTCACTGGTGGAATGGAACATGAAGTCTGTAGCTCATTTTCCAACAATCTTTTATATAACCAAAGATTTCTGCAGTCAGTCTCTTCCTGCTGGCCGGATGCAGGTTGAAGAAACATCGTCATAGGCTTCACATTTCAACCTGAAAGCTGTGTCCTTGTTTTTTTATATTCTATGATTTATGATGAACAAATATTTAAAAGGTCATATTGATCATATAAAATTGAGGCAGATATATAAATCCATAACATTTTTCAAAAACATTCTCGTTTACAATGCTGTCTTTGCACTATTTTGCATTAAATTTGGGATTTAAATAATCTGATCATCACATTATGTTTTCAATATTACAAACTTTTTTTAGACACATGAGCAGTGACGTGAATAACAGCGTTAAAGGTACTTTTATCAGTAACTAGTAATCTAATTACTATTCAGTCTTTACAACGCAGTTACCCTTACTAACAAGAAAATGCGGTGCGGACGCGTTACTATTTTTCAACACTCAGACAGTCAAAGCGGTCCTCAGGGCAAAACAATTGCACAAGTGCTGCTGATTTGCTGAGGAAAAATAGCCATGATAAACCAATCACATGACCAATTTAAGATGACATAGCAACAACCCAATACAACCTTGAGTTTTCACTTTTGTGTTAAAAGTGTGTTGATAGGCCACGTAAAACTAGAGTCATGATAAAAATATATATATATTTAATGTTTTTTCCTGAATACTATTGTTGTTTATGTTTACTGAGGGAAGAAACAGTAAAAACTTCACCTCTGCTTGTCAGCAAAACTTAAAAAAAAAAACAAAACCATCCTTTCCTATTGGTGTTCTGTAAATAGTTTGAAATAGTTATCAGGTCTTTAAGTTTGACGTCATTAACAGTTTCTGGGTCCCACAGTCAAAGGAACACTGTGGCATCACAGAGTTACAAACTGTCTAAATTCTTTCATCTTTAATAAAATGATCAGCGTTCTGCTCTACCAGGTGTAACATTTAAGTTTAACATCCAGGCATCCATGAAAACAGAATTTATGGAATTTAACAGAGTTAGAAGTTAGCAGGAAGTTAGCTCGCTAGCTTCCACTTAAACATAATACACCATGTTCTGACTGAGAGATTTCGAAAAAATTAAAACAAACAGCTCTGCTATCATAACCTTAAGACCATACTCTATAACTGACATCACTGATTCTTGGTCTCAGTAACCTGCAGCTTTGCCTTTTTTCCTTTCATCAGACCATGCAGAGATACAGCTGCCCGCCTTTTCCACAGCGTTAACTGTGTTGTAGAATTTTGCTACTTTGTGTCCCAGAGCTTCAAGACCATCAACTACATCCTGCAGGACAAAGAGGAGAGAGACTCAGATGAAACAAGAGAAGTAGAACTTATTAATTTATCATTTAAATACACTGAATAAATTACCTTTTCAAGCTTGGATTCAAGTTTTACTTCACTTTTAGAGTCTACAAGAACAACCAGAGTATCAATTGCCTCCTTAAGACTCTTTCCAAACCAAAGGCGGTTCATGAGCGCCTTGGAGAGAAAAAATAAATCTATGAGGTGAGAATGTGATGATTACAGGATAAATTAGGGTGAAGAATCTTGTTACTATGATGCAAGCTTTAACAGCAAAGACGGGCATCAGTCTGCATCAATTTATTTTATTTCATATGTAATAGCACCTTTGTGTGTTTACCATGCATACGTACCGAGGCCACAGCCGGTGGAATCATTTCAGAACCAGACCCTCCAATCACCAGCGTCTTCGACGGAGACTTCAGCACAGAAGGGGCCATATTGGAGGGAGGCCGCTCCCCTGAGAAATACAACAAAGACCTTGAATAGCAGGACAAAACTACAGTCTAAAATGTCTCCATGAATCTCTGTGAATGATGAGAAGATCAAGCTAAAGCTATTCTGTTATACCTGTATGCAAAAAATGCACTGCACCCGAAATATTTCATAGTTCAGCAAAACTGATCAATCTAATAAACATGAACCTACACCATCCTCCCTATTCTGATATTTTAAAAAGTACTTAGCAGCAATTTTAAAGAACCAAACTAATAGGGTTGCCAATTCCCAACAAAAAAATAAAATAAATAAATAAAAGGGAATCACCCTCCACCTCATGATGCTTAATCGACTTTAATTTAATGCACGTGTAAAACAAATGTACAGGAATCAATTATATTTCTACAATAATTGAATAGATTCAACATCTTTCTTCAACAGAATTGCAGACTGCACAGATGGTACCTTCCCAAAGGAAAAAGTACTGTAGGCACTACTATTACTAGGGTATATATTAGACTTAATAGTTACTATATACAATAATGGATTTCTATACTTTTTGCATCAGATGAAAACTTTGGTTGTAAGATTCAGATAATTTTTTTAAACTAGACATTAGAATAAGAACGAAAAGTATGTCTTTGTGCCCCCTCTCCCTGTTAATGCCCTACCAGGCCCCCTGGCAAAACTTTGCTAGATCCGCCCCTGTACAGTTACCAGCTGTCAGCTACGTAGGAAAGGATCCTGTTGTAGAAACTAATATTAAATACATTCTAACAACAGCTTATCAAGTTTAAACCAGCTGCTGCTGATTATTATTTCCTCTTTGTGGTGTAAAGTGGGCGATAGACAAACAAGAGAGTCGGCCTGCAGCAGAAAAGCCGATCAGATGATGACTGATCAGCTTCATGATTGAAGTAGCAACAGGAGAGGGAGAGAATGAGAGGCAGTCGCTCCATATTTCAGTTGTTAAGCTTAACGTGGGAATGCTTTACAAACATTCAAAGGTTAACTTACACACTTGCTTTACTTCCCGATACCGATACGCAATATCAGATCGGCCCATCTCTAAGCTTAACCCACTTCAATGGAGACAAAACCCAACAATAAGATGAGCCCCTATTTGGTGACAGTGTGAAGGAAAAACTCCCTTTTAACAGCAAGAAACCTCCAACAGCAACAGGCTCACAGAGGGGCAGTCATCTGCTGTGACCAGCTGAGGACACATTTAGAGAGTTTATGTAATTTGTGTTTATAGAAGTTCACTCAGAGCTCAACTGTGCCTGTTCTTAAACATTCAAAACATTTCAGCAGGCTATGACATTAAATGAAAAATGCCATTTTAATTCAAATTTACCTGATGTGCTTTGGTTTGGCAGTTTTGTTGATTGTTTTCATGATCAACAAAACATGATGCACCACAATGAATTATGAAATGACATTTTCTCCTCTAATATCCTCAGTGGTGCTTTTTTGGTACTATTAGATTAAAAATTCATGGTGTGCAGTTTCCCCAGGTGTTGTTGTATTTTCTTTCAAATTTCTTATGTTGCGACATGCTAATATGTACAAACATGCATATTTATCAAGTATATGTTATATTAACCACACTTAACACATTAGTTTAGAAGATGAATTAAAATTGCAAATTAGTACTATCAGAACTCAGAGGTCCAGAATATTTGTTAATAAATATTAAATTCAGAAGGAATCCTGCTGATCCCTTACCATGAAAGATGTTATCAGCTCGACCACAGAAGTCATTTAGGTGGTTGTTGAGGATGATTCCAGTGCTTGAAGAGAGGACATTGGACCCAAATCTGTAAAGAGTAAACATTAAATGAACTAGGTCTAAACCTG